ACCGGGGTTTAGACACGCTCATGTTGCGCTGCGCTGCAGCCGATGGGATTTATTCAGCGACATCCTGATTGCATTTACCCTTCCTTGTTGTGTGAGTGTGTAGCTATTTATATCTCGTGTGCCCCTCCCCCTCCTTAAAGTCACACCTGCCTCTCGGCTGGATGGCTGAATGGTCAACCGTATGGCCCTCTGGGCAACCTATCACGCGGGCGAACCTCCGTTCAGGGGAAAATTTTTCCGTCTTGCTTCCGAGTGGAGATCTTTCCCCTGAAGCCCTGCTGACAGGTCTGTGTCTGCGCTGCTTGCAGGCCGAGCGGACACAGAGCTGCATCGCTCTCCCTCAGTGGCGCTCGGGATGAGAACAGACCGCCCAGGGGCGGAACGTGTACTATTTGGAAACTCAGAGGCACTGCCCGAGGCCCAGGTCATAGGGGGGGGGGGCCCATGAGATGCCCCTGGTAACATTTTTCCATAGGCTTTTTTGAGTTTAGGGCAAGGGACACAGGGCCCCATGATCCCCTATTGCCCCCAGGGGCCCCATTGAGTTGTTCAGTCCCGCCCCTGGGACCGAGCCTGTTCCCGTTTTCAATCTGGAGACCCGATCTCAACACGGACAGGAAGAGGAATTGGATCCACACCACATTCTGTACCCTTTTTTGTGGATCGATGTCGGCGGTGTGTAAACGGACACGATGTCCGTTTATTTACCCCGCCACTCCATAGAGGAGAATGGAGGTTCCTGATTGGGTCCGCCTGAAAACCACACCAGGTGGACCCAATCAGAAACCATCCGTGTGAAAGAGCCCTTTCTACAACGGGCCCGTTCCAATTTTTTTTCATCAGTTCAGTCCGTGTTGTCTTCCAGAAAAAATGGATCATTCACATCATTTTACATCCTTTAACCAAAGGCAAAAAACGGACCGTTTGTTCAGTTTTACATCCGTATTTCCTTTCTGATTCCATTTTATTTTTTGTACAGAAGAAAATTAGGCCCCTTTCACCCGGTGAGCCGTTCCGTATGTCCGATTTTCAATCTGTCCGTTTAATGGATGAAAAATTGGACCCCCATGTAATTCCTATGGACTACGGATGTAAACGGACGTTTGTCACATCCGCATCCGTTTACATACCGTTAACAGAAAGGAAGACCCCTATTTTGTCTGCCTGAAAAAAAACATATCAGCTAAAAATGGACGTAAACCGATTTAAAACGAGACAAAAACGGATGTAAACTGATGAAAAAAACAAAAACGGATGTAAACAGACGATAAAAGTTTTATTGTAAACCGGACAAAACAAAGGTGGTAAGAGAACATAAAACAGATGTAAACGGATGCAAGAATGGAATGTAAACGGACAAAAATGGAGGGTAAACAGACAAATATGAGTGATAAACAACGAACGAAAAAACAGATTAAACGATTAATCAATTGATGTAAAGGGACAAAAACCTAATGTAAAATGTGATGAAACACAGATGTAAAAAGGATGTAAATTAGACAAAAAACGGAATGTAAAGGGACATAAACAGATGAGAAAACAGAGTGTAAAATTGATGTAAGAGAGGGACTAAAACAGATGTCAACGGTATGAAAAAACGTATTTAAAAAAAAACGACTGAAAACTGGATGTTAAACAGAGTTAACAGACAAAAAACAGATATAAACCGGACGAAAAACGAATGCAAAAGGAGATGAAAAACAGATGTATATGGGAGAAATAACGGGTTGTAAAGAAGCGAAAAACAGCCGAAAACAGATGTAAGACAGACTAAAAAAGGATGTGAAAGGACAAATGCTTTTTGTGGGATACCTGGTTACCAAATTTCCTACATGGAGATCCAGTGACATTCATCTTCCTCGCTGCATGCTAGGACAGACAACTAAGCAGCAGCCCTACGGCATTTCCGATGCGTCGTTGTACACCCTGCCCTGCCAGCTCCTGCAGGTGTGTTTCCCTACCTGCTGACAAGCAGCCCAACTGAAGGTGCATGCAACGAAGGGTGACCACGCTGCTTGCTAATTGCGAGGTCACAGCTTACGTTGTCAGCCAGCAGGCAGGAAGTGCTGTTACTGGCAGGATCTCCAGTGACATCTTTCCATTCTGCTCTCAGGAGCATTATTTAAATTCCAGGTTAGGAAAAGAAGATTGGCGCACATTCACAGACAGTTCCAGCGTGAATAATAACGGGAGGGCTGAGTTCTCCCTGTAAAGGGGAATTCTGGTATGGCATGAATCCATTTCATCAGTCATTCTCGATCTTCTCGGGTGAGCTTCCAGGTCTGAGCCGTCATCCAGCGTAGACTCTCCTGGGATATAGACCGCTCAACTGCCTGCGCTCATCTGCACCGTGTCCAGGGGACTGGTCCCGTCGCCACGCCTCTTCCTGTAGTAGGTGGAGCCTCCTGGGATCCCACTCCCACAGCTCCGTGGCACAAGCCGATGACGCACGTGCCGCCTTTACAAGGTAATATCTGGGTTTGCAGAGGTGTTTGGTGCGCAGAAAGTGGATGTCTGTGCCCGGGAAATATAATTCAAGTCCGAACGTGTCCCGGAATTTCCAGGAGTTCAGCTTTAAAAAGCAGCCGAGCACAGCCGGACTCCATCGCACGCTGGCGCTCCGCGCTTGTGGTTTCTCAGCGAGGCGTCCCATTGATTCTGCGCCTGCGGATTGCCAGACACAGGGATGGTCCGGCCACATCCTTACAATCTCACTAGTCGCTTCGCTGCTTCTGGCGGGTGCATGTCCACAATAGTCATCTGTTCCAACTCGCGAATTGTTTGTACTTACTGCATGTGGAGGCTCTCTAATCCCACCACACGCGATTTTAACCCCTTTCGTCGCCGAAGTTGGGGTTTTTGGCATAATATGGTTGCAAATGTTCGTTGCATAGTTGTGCAAATTTTGAGTGGCATATTTGGGGGTGTAAATTTTGTGTGCATATTGTTGCACAATTTTGGTTGCTCAATTGGTTGCAAATTTTGTTGTAAAGTTACTTGCGTATTGTTTGAAAATTTTGTTGGCTCATTATTGTTGCAATTATTGGTTGCAAATTTTTGTTTGCGATATTGGTGCAAATTTGGTTGTAAATTTTGTTGCATAATTGTTGCATAATTTGGATGCATATAGTGTGCATAAAAACTATTGTCGTATTGTCACAAAATTTGTGCACATGTTGTGTGCAAAATGTTGTGGGACATTTTGTTGCAAATTTGTGTGTGTTAATTTGTTGCATATTTAGTTGAAAATTTTGGTGCTTCAATTGTTGTCGTAATGTTGCCAAATGTGTTGGGGTGCCAGATTGTTGCAAAGTTGTGGTGTCAGAGTTTGTTGTTGCATAATGTGGCAACAAATTTTAATCGCATATTGAGTTGCAAAAAAAATTGTGTATTAGTTGGCAAAATTTTGTGCAACATTTATGGTTGCAAAATTTGTGTACATTTTGTTGGGCAAAGTTATGTTTGAAAATTTTGTTTCTCTCATATTGGTTTGCATATTGGTTGCACAATTTTGTACATTTGTGTTTGCATATTGTTTGCAAATTTGTGGTTGCATATTGTTGTAAATTTTGTTGCGTATTGTTGCAAATTTTGATGCATATTGTTTGCAAAAAAAAAATCATATTGTTGCAACATTTTGTTGCAAATTTTGTTGCTCATTTTGTTGCATATTTTGTTGCATATTTGTTGCAAATTTTGCTAAATGTATTTCAGGCCTGAAGATGAATTAAAACACCCCAAACAGAAAATATTATCTGAAAGCGACACCTCCGAGAATAAAATGGTGGTAGTTCCAATTTTTACGTCAACAGTTTATCAAAGGCAAGGTTTCAGTTTTAAAAAAAAAATGCACAAGCGTTGATTTTAGAGCACAAAAACACAATATTATTACTCATTTGTTTGTTTCCATTCCTTCAAATATAAAAGATGAGGTTGCGTCGAGTACATAGATACCCAACATGTCAAGCCCTAAAATCGCCAGAGACGATGATAAACTTCAATACCGTGCGGTTTGATTGGACGATGCTTCAAGGGCCAGTTCACACCGCATGCAGTCCAGTGCGTTTTGTTTTCTGCATCAAAAGCATATTAATGGTTTCCAATGGCATAGTTCACACCGGTGCGCTCAGTTCCAGATGAAAAAGTAGAACAGGCTGCATTTTTTTTCTGCTCCGAAGTGTACTGGAACGCGGTAAAACGCATAAAAAATGTGCCAAAAACGCACCGGAACGCACATGTCCTTACCTTAAGCTGGCCATACACAGTCGATTTTCGGACGAGAATATTTATACAAAAAGTCGCAAACGAAAATTCTTTGAACATTCTGTGATTGGATGAAAGTCGTTCGAAAATTGTCTTTACTTTTAACATTGGAGTTTAAAATGAATGTCGTTTCTGGACGATAACCACACCAAAATTTGATTGAGAAAAGTTTCCGCCCCTTCGAATTTTCCCATCACTGCGGTTGAAAACAAACGTTGATTTTGACCCACCCATCCCCCCCCCCCCCCCCCCCCCCACTAACGATTAGAAAATCAAATAAATATTCTTGGGAACTAAAATTCTCAAATGAAAAATCTCCACATGTATGGCGAGCTTACACACCTACGCAGTTTTTGCCTTTTGTCCAGTTTGCTGCGCTTTTTGCAGTTCGTTTTGCAGTTTTTCTACACGCATTTTGGATGCATTTTTACCGCGTTTGGGTTTTTGTTCAGCTGTTTTTTTTTCTTTTACAGTGGAAATTTTTTTTTGCTGGGCAGAAAAAAATGCAAAATGTGGCAAAAGTGTTTGGTCAGAGACATTCCCACCAGTGGCCTGCTGGAGGTCACATTGTAGGGCTCTGGCAGGGCTCATCCTGGTCCTCCTTGTACAAAGGAGCAGATACCGGTCCTGCTGATGGGTTAAGGACCTTCTACGGCCCTGTCCAGCCCTCCTAGAGTAACTGCCTGTCTCCTGGAATCTCCTCTCGTGCTCTCTCCTGGAATCTCCTCCGTGCTCTTGTCTCCTGGAATCTCCTCCATGCTCTTGTCTCCTGGAATCTCCTCCGTGCTCTCTGTCTCCTGGAATCTCCTCCGTGCTCTTGTCTCCTGGAATCTCCTCCGTGCTCTTGTCTCCTGGAATCTCCTCCGTGCTCCTGTCTCCTGGAATCTCCTCCATGTCTTGTCTCCTGTCTCCTCCCATGCTCTTGTCTCCTGGAATCTCCTCCGTGCTCCTGTCTCCTGGAATCTCCTCCATGCTCTGTCTCCTGGAATCTCCTCCATGCTCTTGTCTCCTGGAATCTCCTCCGTGCTCTTGTCTCCTGGAATCTCCTCCGTGCTCTTGTCTCCTGGAATCTCCTCCGTGCTCTGTCTCCTGGAATCTCCTCCGTGCTCTCGTCTCCTGGAATCTCCTCCGTGCTCTCGTCTCCTGGAATCTCCTCCGTGCTCTTGTCTGCTGGAATCTCCTCCGTGCTCTTGTCTCCTGGATCTCCTCCATGCTCTCGTCTCCTGGAATCTCCTCCGTGCTCTTGTCTCCTGGAATCTCCTCCGTGCTCTCGTCTCCTGGAATCTCCTCCGTGCTCTCGTCTCCTGGAATCTCCTCCATGCTCTCGTCTCCTGGAATCTCCTCCATGCTCTTGAGACTGTGCTGGGAGACACAGCAAACCTTCTGGCAATGGCATGTATTGTGCCATGGAGGAGTTGGACTGCCTGTGCAACCTCTGTAGGGTCCAGGTATGGCCTCATGCTACCAGTAGTGACACTGACCCGAGCCAAATGCAAAACTAGTGAAAAACAGTCAGAAAAGATGATTAGGGGAAAAATGTCAGTGGCCTCTGCCTGTAAAATCATTCCTGTTTTGGGAGTCGTCTCATTGTCGCCCATCTAGTGCACCTGTTGTTAATTTCATGAACACCAAAGCAGCTGAAACTGATTACCACCCCCCCCCCCCCCCCCTGCACCCCCTCTGCTACTTACCTGACCAGTATCAATATCCAAGGAGGTTCATTGACTCGATGCTAGACTCGAATTAAAAAGTCTCCTTCCATTTTCTTGAGCCGTGTATGTATGTGTATATGTATGTGTGTGTATATGTATGTATATGTATGTATGTATGTATGTGTATATGTATTATGTATGTATGTATGTATTATGTTTGTATGTATGTATGTATGTGTATATGTATGATGTATGTATGTATGTGTATGTATGTGTATATGTATGTGTATGTATGTATGTATGTATTGTATATATATATACAGTATAATTTATGAAATACTACAATTTTGGCCGTATTAAATATATTTCAAAACAATATTATGTTTATACATACAGTCATGGCCGAAATTGTTGGCACCCTTGATATTTCTCCTCCAGGAAATCATGAAAAAGTATTTCTCACGAACGTATTGCATTAACACATGTTTTGCTATACACATGTTTATTCCCTTTGTGTGTATTGGGACAAAACAAAAAAAGGGAGGAAAGAAAGCAAATTCGACATAATGTCACACAAACCCCCAAAAATGGGCTGGACAAAAGTATTGGCACCCTTTCACAACTGCGGATAAATAAGAATGTTACAAGCATGTGATGCTCCTGTAAACTCACCTGGGGCAAGTAACAGGTGTGGGCAATATAGAAATCACACCTGAAAGCAGATAAAAAGGAGAGACGTTCACTTAACCTTTGCATTGTGTGTCTGTCTGTGCCACACTAAGCATGGACAACAGAAAGAGGAGACGAGAGAACTGTCTGAGGACCTGAGAACCAAAATTTGTGGCAAAATATCAACAATCTCAAGGTTACAAGTCCATCTCCAGAGAACTAGATTTGCCTTTGTCCACAGTGCGCAACATTATCAAGAAGTTTGCAACCCATGGCACTGTAGCTAATCTCCCTGGTCGTGGACGGATGAGGAAAATTGATGAAAGATTGCAACGCAGAATAGTCCGGATGGTGGATAAGCAGCCCCAAACATGTTCCAAAGACATTCAAGCTGTCCTGCAGGCTCAGGGGAGCATCAGTGTCAGCGCGAACTATCCGTCGACATTTAAATGAAATGAAACGCTATGGCAGGAGACCCAGGAGGACCCCACTGCTGACACAGAGACATAAAAAAGCAAGACTACAGTTTGCCAAAATGTACTTGAGTAAGCCAAAAGCCTTCTGGGAAAACGTCTTGTGGACAGATGAGACCAAGATAGAGCTTTTCGGTAAAGCACATCATTCTACTGTTTACCGAAAACGGAATGAGGCCTACAAAGAACAAAAACACAGTACCTACGGTAAAATATGGTGGAGGTTCAATGATGTTTTGGGGTTGTTTTGCTGCCTCTGGCACTGGGGTGCCTTGACTGTGTGCAAGGCATCATGAAATCTGAGGATTACCAAAGGATTTTGGGTCGCACTGTAGGGCCCAGTGTCAGAAAGCTGGGTTTGCGTCCAAGATCCTGGGTCTTCCAGCAGGACAATGACCCCAAACATACGTCAAAAAGCACTCAGAAATGGATGGCAAAGAAGCGCTGGAGAGTTTCTGAAGTGGCCAGCAATGAGCCCAGATCTAAATCCCATTGAACACCTGTGGAGAGATCTTAAAATTGCTGTTGGGAAAAGGTGTCCTTCCAATAAGAGAGACCTGGAGCTGTTTGCAAAGGAAGAGTGGTCCAAAATTCCGGGTGAGTGAGGTGTCAGAAGCTTATTGATGGTTTATAGGAAGCGACTGATTTCAGTTATGTTTTCCAAAGGGTGTGCAACCAAATATTAAGTTAAGGGTGCCAATACTTTTGTCCAGCCCATTTTTGGGGTTTTTGTGTGACATTATGTCATATTTGCTTTTCTGCCTCTGTTTTATATTTTGTTCCAATACATACAAAGGGAATAAACATGTGTATAGCAAAACATGTGTTAATGCAATACCTTTTTTGTGTGTGTGAAATACTTGATTTTCAGGAAAAATATCAAGGGTGCCAACAATTTCGGCCATGACTGTATATATAATATGTATGTACTGCATGTATGAAATGCGTTTTTTGTATATTATACAAAATATACAATTTTGGCCGTAAAAATAACATATTTTTTAAATATATATATACAATTGTTAAATATATGCTATCAAATGCGTTTTTATATTTTTAAAAATATATGAAAAAAATATGAAAATTTATATTTGTAATTATAATTTTTTTAACATATATAACTTTTAACATTTTTTTTACACATATTTGTAAATTGCATTCCAAAAATGTAGATTAAATGTATTTTTTGTTGCTATTCTGTCTCTCAGTGTTACAATACACAGAACATTCGATTTTTAGACCGATCATTTCTTTGTGAGGGGCGAACATTCAACATCAGCAGGGGAGCAAATACGCATTTCCTACACTGTGTATATATATATATTTATTTATTTATTTTAAAAAATGTATCATTACTATATAATATATTGTATATTTTAACCACTTGCCGTCCGCCTGCTGTTTATAAACGGCAGGGCGGTGGCAGTCCAGGGGCGGGTTGCCGTTCATAAACGGCACCCGCCATTTCTAGCTGTCCGCGCTCCCTGGGAGCGCGCAGCACTGCGATCCGGTGCCCGCTGTGTCCTACAGACACAGTGAAACACCGATCGTCGGATGGGACCTCTGTACGATTTCCCGATCATGTGATCACTGATTGGCCAATCAGTGATCACATGCAAAGTAGTAAGCAAGATGTCACTTCTGACATCATTGCTTACTACGTGTGAAATCTGTGAATGATCACAGAGGTCACATGGTACAGGGCTATTCACAACAGAATTGTACCATGTGACAAGCTGTGACCAATCACAGCTCACTCAGTACTTCTCAATGACTGCAAGAATGCAGACAGAGAGAAAGAGAAATGATTGCTTTTACATCCTATATGGGTGTAAAAAGCAATCAGTGTAAAAAAAAAAAAAAATCTTCATCACCCCCCACAAGTAGTACAGTGTCACCATGGTGACTGTACTGCTAGGGTGACAGTATGTAAAAAAAAAAAAAAACATAAAAAATAATATAAAAATATAAAATAAAAATGTAAAAAAAAAATGTTTAAAAATTATAATTTTTGGTTATAAACTAATTTGGATTTTTTTTTTCTTTACTAAAAAAATAACGGAATTAAATTTTGGTCAAGATTTATGATGAAATATTATTTATTTGCAAAATTTTATTAAAAAAACACTTTTTTTAAAAATGTTTGGACTTTTCATTTACATAGCAAAAAAAAAAAAAATCCCAGCGGTGAAAAAATACCACCAAAATAAAGCTTTATCTGTCTCAAAAAAAAATGGTAAAAAATTCATATGGGTACAGTGTTGCATGACCGCGCAATTGTCATTCAAAGTGTGATAGCGCTGAAAGCTGGAAATTGCCCTGGACAGGAAGGGGGGGAAAGTGTCCGGACTGGAAGGGGGTGAAAGCGTCCGGACTGGAAGGGGGGAAAAGCGTCCGGACTGGAAGGGGGTGAAAGCGTCCGGACTGGAAGGGGGGGAAAGCGTCCGGACTGGAAGGGGGGGAAAAGCGTCCGGACTGGAAGGGGGGGAAAGTGTCCGGACTGGAAGGGGGTGGAAAGTGTCCGGACTGGAAGGGGGTGAAAGTGTCCGGACTGGAAGGGGGGGTGAAAGTGTCCGGACTGGAAGGGAGTGAAAGTGTCCGGACTGGAAGGGGGTGAAAGTGTCCGGACTGGAAGGGGGTGAAAGTGTCCGGACTGGAAGGGGGTGAAAGCGTCCGGACATGGAAGGGGGGGAAAGCGTCCGGACTGGAAGGGGGTGAAAGTGTCCGGACTGGAAGGGGGTGAAAGTGTCCGGACTGGAAGGGGGGGAAAGTGTCCGGACTGGAAGGGGGGAAAAGTGTCCGGACTGGAAGGGGGGGAAAGCGTCCGGACTGGAAGGGGGGTGAAAGTGTCCGGACTGGAAGGGGGTGAAAGCGTCCGGACTGGAAGGGGGGTGAAAGTGTCCAGACTGGAAGGGGGGGAAAGTGTCCGGACTGGAAGGGGGGTGAAAGTGTCCAGACTGGAAGTGGTTAAAAATGTGAATGAGTTTTAATAAAACTTTTACTTAGTTTTTTCATATATATATATATCTCTGACAAGGTGTTTATTAAACAATTAACCAAAAAAAGCCTGAAACATGTAAATCATGAATATATTATATTCTAGTAATGAATTAGGCGGCAGATCGGTCATCGATTATTTGTCGTATTACTCAATGCTGATGCCGCTAACGTTTCTCTGGTGTTCTAGGCGTCCGTGTTCTCCGGCTGTGAAGAGGTTAAACATCCTGTAAACCCATTTTTTCCCGGAGAAATTGCCCTTTATAAAGGTGTTGAGGGGAATTTCCGGCCTTGTGGACCATTAAATAACGATTCCACTCCATTTCACCTCATCCCCATCTCCGGAGGAGGAAAGTGCGATTATTTCATACACAGCCTGTAATCTGCGTTGGGGCGCGGGACGCGCTCTGCGCTGCCTCCAGGAATAGAACGGGTTAGAGGCGATGGAATAATTTCCCTTTTGGATTATCGTTGTTCATCATTAGTGACAGCCGCGCCATGTGCGCAGAATAATGTATGCAGAGATGTACACACATCACACACGGCGGAGCGCGATGCGAAGGAAGAAGTTCGGTTCTCGGGAGTGCAGGGAGGGGTGACTAAATGGATGAAATGCTCATCACCGTATAAACCGGCACATGAATATTCAGGCCTCAGTCACGTGTAACATGTGCACAGGTTTTTGGTTTTTCCATGTGTGGTGGAAAACAGTTTTTAGCGATGCAGAAGCTGCTAGCAGATTTCCGATGAGGACTTTTGGCTTAGAGGAAATAGAGATTCCCCACCCTAAGGACTCCCCACACTAATCCCTCTTTGAGAAAAATTAAAGTGAGCATCTTATAGGAGACAGTAATGTGACTGCGGCCAGGAGCACCTTATAGAGGAGGCGGGAGTGCGACCAACGACAGGAGCACCTTATAGAGGAGGCGGGAGTGCGACCAACGACAGGAGCACCTTATAGAGGAGGCGGGAGTGCGACCGCGGCCAGGAGTACCTTATAGAGGAGGTGGGAGTGCGACCACAGCCAGGAGCACCTTATAGAGGAGGCGGGAGTGCGACCAATGGCCAGGAGCACCTTATAGAGGAGGTGGGAGTGCGACCGAGGGCCAAAAAGCACCTTATAGAGGAGGCGGGAGTGCGTCCGCGGCCAGGAGCACCTTATATAGAGGAGGCGGGAGTGCGACCAATGACAGGAGCACCTTATAGAGGAGGCAGAAGTGCGATCACCCGAGGCCAGGAGCACCTTATAGAGGAGGTGGTGGGAGTGCGATCCGCGGAGCACCAGGAGCAGGAGTTATAGAGGAGGCGGGAGTGTGACCTATGTCCCTTTATAGGAGTACCCTTATAGAGGAGGCGGGAGCGTATGAGTACAGCCAGGAGTACCTTTTAGAGGAGAGGAGGCAGAAATGTGATCACAGCCAGGAGCACCCTATAGAGGAGGCAGAAGTGCGATCACGGGGCAGGAGCACCTTATAGAGGAGGCAGAAGTGCGATCACGGCCAGAAGCACCTTACAGGACTACCGTATAGAAGAGGAAGGCATACAACCACGGTCAGGAGCACGTTATAGAAGAGGAAGGCATGCGGCCATGGTCAGCAGCACCTTATAAAGGACGCAGGAGATAAGACTGTGGCCAGGAGTACCATATAGAAGATGCAGGAATGTGACCACGGTCAGGAGCACCTTATAGGGGTGTCAGGAGTTATGAGTATGGTCAGGAGTACCTTTTTAGAGGAGGCATGAGTACAACTGGGGCTAGGAGTACCTTATAGAAGAGGAAGGAGTGTGACCAAGGTCAGGAGCACCTAATGGAGGAGGCAGAACTTAAGACTGTGGCCAGGAGTACCTTACGGAGGAAGCAGAAGTGCAACCACAGTCGGGAGCACCTTATAGAGGGGGCAAGAGTGCATCCGCGGCCAGGAGCACCTTATAAAAGAGGCATCACACTGCTGGAGGGATCTCACTGAAGCGAGGAATGAGGTAAGTGTTACTCCTTATCCCCCTATCTCCAGGCAAAAACATAATTTAACCCTTGCAGTGTGGGGGAGGGGGGGGACCCCACTACAAAGGCAGTTTTTTCCATGTGTCCAGGGTTGGCTTCAAGCACAGAACGCTCACTTGTGACTGTAGTGCTCCTTTAAATTCCAGGAGATACAGAGGTGAAAACCCAGCGTAACAGATGTCATTGGAAGCGTGAGATTGTGTGGATTAAAATAGACACAGAGAACTAATTCAAGAGGAAGCGTGAATTTTCCCCCAAAAATCATTTTTCATTTCTTGTGTTCCAGTTCAGGACCCCGTGACCCCTCTCTGGTCCCCCTCCCCAGGACCCGGTTCAGCGGTGACTTTAGTGGTTACGGGTCATTAGATTAAATGAAGAGTCACCATACATTATAGGCTGTTGAATGGGAATCGGTTTATTTATAGATCCTCGGTAAGTATGCAGCTGGCTATATGGGCCCCCAGCGAAGAAATCGAACCTTGAAGGAGGTTGTTAAAACCGAAAATTCCCCCCTCAACCCTCACCTGTACCATTCCTGCCTGATCCACTTCTTCCCCAACGATGCTTCCTAAAGTTTTGTGCAAATGCTGAATCTCTAAAAGTCAGCATTTGGGCCCACATGGGCCCCAAGAGCTAGGTTTTTCTTGGGGTTGTAACAGCACATTAGAACCACATTTTCACCTCAACGGGGCAGATGCCAATTAAATTTATTGGTAGACCATTTGGTCTGATGGCTGCCAAAATATTTTAATGGTGGACTGTTTGATTTGGTGGCTGCCCGTTTTCTTCTATGGTGGACAGTTTGGTCTGGCAACTGCCCATTCTCTGTGGTGGACAGTATAAACTCATGGTTGCCCATTTTCTTCTATGGTGGACACTATGGTCTGGCAGCTGCCCATTCTTTTCTGTGGTGGACAGTTTACTTTGGTAGCTGCCCATTCTATTTTATGGTGGACAGCTTGGTCTGGTGGCAGCTCATTCTCTACTATGGTGACCGTTTGGTGTGGGAACTGCCCATTCTCTTCCATGGTGGACAGTTTGCTCTAGTAGCTGCCTACTCTCTTCTACTGTGGTTTGGTCAGACAGCTGCCTTTTGTCTTCTGTGATGGACAGTTTGGTCTGACAGCTGCCCGTTGTCTTCTGTGATGGACAGTTTCGTCTGACAGCTGCCCGTTGTCTTCTGTGATGGACAGTTTCGTCTGGCAGCTGCCCGTTGTCTTCTGTGATGGACAGTTTGGTCTGGTGGTTGTCCATTCTCTTCTATGGTGGACAGATTAATCTGGCAGCTGCCCATGCTCTTTTGTGGTGGACACTATGGTCTGGCAGCTGTCAATTCTCTTCTATGTTGGGCAGTCTGGCAGCAGCCCATTCTATTTTATGGTGGACAGTTTGGTCCAGGAACTGCCTACTCTATTTTTTGGTAGACAGTTTTGATCTACCAGTTGCCCATTGTCCTCTGTGATGGACAGTTTGGTCTGGGGGCAAATTATTCTCTTCTATGTTCGTTCCAGAAGCTTTCTATTTCCTTCAATGATTGATGGCTTGGTCCAGCAGCTGCCTATTGTCTTCTTTGGTGGAAACTATGGTCTGGTGGCTGCCCATTCTCTCCTTTGGTAGACAGTGTGGTGTGGTAGCTGCCCATTCTATTCTATTCGTTGGTGGACAGTTTGCTCCAGCCGCTCTTTATATGGGCTGGGTGGTCTGACAACTGTCCATTCTCTTTGGTGGATGGTATGGGCTAGCGGCTGCCCATTCTCTTCTATGGTGGTCTACCCATTTTGGTATGCTGGTAGCTGCCCATTCTTTTCTATAGTGGACAGTTTGGTCTTGTGGCTTCCTATTGTCTTCTGTGGTGAACAGTTTGGTCTGGCGGCTTCCCATTGTCTTCTGTGTGGTGAACAATTTGGTCTGGTGGCAGCTCATTTTCCATTCTCTTGGTGGACACTTTTGTCTGGCAGCTGTCCACTCTCTTTGGTGGACAGCAAGGGCCAGTGGCTACCCATTTTCTTTTCTATGATGGATAGTTTGGTCTAGTAGGTGCCCCCATTCTGTTGTTTTGGTGAACAGTTGTTGTATGGTGGTCTTGGTAGCTGCCCATTCTTTTCTATAGTGGACAGTTTGGTCTTGTGGCTTCCCACTGTCTTCTGTGGTGAACAGTTTGGTTTTGGTGGCAGCTCATTTTCTTCTCTTGGTGGACACTTTCATCTGGCAGCTGTCCATTCTCTTTGGTGGACAGTATGGGCTACCAGCTACCCATTCTCTTCTGTGGTAAACAGTTTGGTCTGGTGGCTTCCCATTGTCTTCTGTGGTGAACAGTTTGGTCTGGTGGCTTCCCATTGTCTTCTGTGGTGGCATTTGGTTTTTGGTGGCAGCTCATTTTCTTTCTCTTGGTGGACACTTTGTCTGGCAGCTGTCTATTCTCTTTGGTGGACAGTATGGGCTACCGGCTACCCATTCTCTTCTGTGGTGGATTGTTTGGTCTAGTAGGTGCCTATTCTGTTGTATGGTGGACAGTTTGGTCTGGCAACTGCCCATTCTCTTCCATGGTGGGCAGCTGGGTCTGGCAACTGCCTATTCTGTTCTACGGTGGGCAGTTTTTTACAGCAGCTGCCTATTCTCTTCTATGGCAGCCAGCTAATCCAGCAGTCCCAAACTGGTTTCTATGGGAGGACATGTCCTGGACCTGTAGGACTGTGCTATTCTATTCCAGGTCTGGACAGTTTGGCGGGATCCAGCACACTTGAGGAGTCTTGTGACTGTTTTCAGAAATTCATCAGAATTTAAATGACTTGAAATAAAGTTACTTTAATCATTTTCATTTAAAAAAAAAATCTAAATTCCCGTTTACCAAAGTCGTGGAACTCCTCTCGCTAGCGGCCATCGTTCCCATCCCCCATATTACACGTACGACAGTAACTACCCTTCCTACGTGAATCTGCTTGTTTCCGTTGATGGGCCCTCAATAGTCCGTCTTGTATTACGGCGAGTATTTATTGCAGTCCGTTCAGCCTGCTCAAGTGTTTCTCTTCCGATACGGATCCTGGATTTATAGACTGGTGTAGGTGACAGCGTTCTGCTGGGATAGGCAGCGGCCAATGATCTGGGGTCAGGGGTCCCGGATCATTCATAAACCACCATTGTAGCGTGTAATTAGATGTCAATGAGAGCGACTCATTGACTGCATACATGATGGCAGTCTATAAACCACGACCAAGTCACTCCGGTCATAAAAGAAATTTAAAGGGGCGGCTCTGGCAATGGTGAAGGGTTTTCGGCAGTCGCTCATAGAAATAGGCACTATCTGCATGGGGTTTGCATGCTCCTCACATGTTTGTGTTGGCCCCATCTTGTTCTGAAGACAAATGGGGAGGTGAGTTGGATTCTTACCAAACAGGCTTTATAGTGTGTAATTGTAGCAGACTGTGAGCTCCTCGGGGGGCAGGTACCATTGGGTATCATTCTTTGGGTTTTTTTCTGGTTTACTTCCATAAAGCCAAGACATATTAGTAGGTTGATCGTCTTTCATCTAAACCAGGGGTCTCCAAACATTCGAAACAAAGGGCCCTGTCCTAAAGACTATAGTGGGGCCAAACTGTGGCCAGTGGGAGTAGAAAATATCCTGGTGTCAGCGGGAGTAAATATTGCTCCACTGTGGGTTGTCAATGGAAGGAATTGTGCTGCTTTACTGGTATCAGTGGGAATAGTATCCCCCCATCTTTGGTGTCAGTGGGAGGAATAGTGCCCCATCTTTGGTGTCAGTGGGAGGAATAGTGCCCCGTCTTTGGTGTCAGTGGGAGGAATAGTGCCCCATCTTTGGTGTCAGTGGGAAGAATAGTGTCCCATCATTGTTGTTGTGGTGTAGTGCCCCATCATTGGTGTTGGGGAGGAATAGTGCCCATCATTGGTATCAGTGGAGGAATAGTGTCCCCATCATTGTTGGTGTCAGTGGAGGAATAGTGCCCCATCATTGTTGGTGTCACCAGTAGGAGGAATAGTGTCCCATTATTGGTGTCAGTGGAGGAATAGTGCCCCATTGATGGTGTCACTGGGAGGAATAGTGTCCCATCATTGGTGTCAGTGGGAGGAATAGTGCCCCATCATTGGTATCAGTGGGAGGAATAGTGCCCCATCATTGGTGTCAGTGGGAGGAATAGTGCCCCATCATTGGTATCAGTGGGAGGAATAGTGCCCCATCATTGATATCAGTGGGAGGAATAGTGCCCCATCATTGGTGTCAGTGGGAGGAATAGTGCCCCATCATTGGTACCAGTAGGAAGAATAGTTCCCCATCATTGGTTTCAGTAGGAGGAAGAGTGCCCCATCGTTGGTGTCAATGGGAGGAAGAGTGCCCCATCGTTGGTGTCAATGGGAGGAAGAGTGCCCCATCGTTGGTGTCAATGGGAGGAAGAGTGCCCCATCGTTGGTGTCAATGGGAGGAAAGAGTGCCCCATCGATGGTGTCAATGGGAGGAAGAGTGCCCCATCGTTGGTGTCAATGGGAGGAATAGAGTGCCCCATCGTTGGTGTCAATGGGAGGAAGAGTGCCCCATCATTGGTGTCAGTGGGTGGAATAGTGCCCCATCATTGGTGTCAGTGGGAGGAATAGTGCCCCATCGTTGGTGTCAATGGGAGGAATAGTGCCCCCATTGTTGGTGTCAGTGGATGGAATAGTGCCCCAAGGGCCAGATAAAGGCAAGCAAAGTTCCTGGTCCATGGTTTGGAAACCACAGATCTAAACCAGACTCGTGTGAGCAAGGGAGGGAGCTTGGGCTGTAGGTTCCTCTGGGCCCTAAGTACACTGTACAGTGCATGGTAAAATGTAAGCCTTGGCCGGGTTGCCCGCAGAGGACATGGAGGAACGTCTGTTCTCCCATCTCCTCTGTGGCTAATGCAGCCGGAAGCAATGAAGATTTTTGTCTCTTCCGGTTTCAGTCCGTCATTCCACGGCCAGTACATAGCTGACATGGAGAGCAGGGGAGACGTCAAGGGCCTAGTAGACCCCTGATGTCTCCAGGAAGAGTACCTGTCACTTCCCAGAGCTATCACATAGGGATGTACAAGCACCAATAAAGTTACATTAACAAAAAAAATTGTGGAAAAAAATATTTTAATAAAATATATTTTTTTTTAAATTGAAAGCACCCCATCCCCCCGAACGTCTACACGCATGTAGATCCGGCCCACATAGGTAGACAATGATCGCAATCCCTAAAGGATTTTAAAGCGCCACCTATGGACAGATCTTCAATACCGTCGCTTGACACCATGTTCCGGCCACGAGCAATATTAAATCTTGGCATGTTTGGTATCTACTTACTCCACGCAACATCATCTTTTATATTTTACACAAAAAAAAAATCAGGTATAATATTGTGTTAGTGCGCAGCTTTTAAATAAAAATTGCCATTTGACAAACGGAATAAATGTTGTGACGCAGATGTGGGCCACAGTCGCCATTTTATTCTCCAGGGCAGTGGCGTCCCAAGGCAGGTGCGGGGGGTGCGCGCCGCACCGGGTGACACCTACCACACGGGGTGACATCGGACCCGCTCCACGAAAAAGGTAAGTTGTAAAGAAAGCCGACGATCCCTGCAGGATGGATCAAATCCATCCTGCAGGGATCGTCGGCTCTCTTTACAACTTACCTTTATCGTGAAGCGAGTCTGGTGTCACCCCGTATAGGTTACATGCCGACGATCCCCGCGTGCCGACGATCTGCGGATTGAACAGGGGCGGACTGACCATTCGGAAACTCAGGCACTGCCCTAAGGGCCCGGGGTCAGTAAGGGGCCTCATGAGATGCCCCTGGTTCCTTTCATAGGCTTTTTTGGGTGTGGTTTGAGTGTGGGTGAAGACACAGGGGCTCCATGAGCCCCTATTTCCCGGGGGGCCCATGAGTTGCCCTGGATTGAGCATAATGGATCGGAGTCCGATCCATTATGCTCCCCAATCCGCAGATCCAATCCATCCTGCGGGGATCGTAGGTATGCAACCTATACAGGGGTGACACCGGACCCGCTCCACGAAAAGGTAAGTTGTAAAGAAAGCCGACGATCCCCGCAGGATGGATCGGATCTGCGGATTGGGGAGCATAATGGATCGGAGTCCGATCCATTATGCTCAATCCGCAGATCCGATCCATTCTGCGGGGATCATCGGAGGAGGTGTCACCAAGTGTTATCGCCCCGGGTGACACCAACCCTAGGGACGCCCCTGCTCCAAAACCTCTGGAAAATATACCACCTTTTGGGGGGGGGGGGGGTTTGCAGTAACTTTCCAGCAACAAAACGTGTGAATAATTAGAGAATCTTTAATACCCTGAACAGGGGCGGACCGACCATTCGGGAACTCAGGCAATGCCTGAGGGCCAGGGTCAGCATGGGGCCCCATGAGATGCCCCTGGTACCTTTCATAGGCTCTTTTGGGTGTGGTTTGAGTGTGGGCGAGGACACAGGGGCCCCATGGTCCCCAATCCTGGGGGTTCCCATGAGTTGTCAGTCCGCCCCTGATCCTGAAACATTTAACCAGCCGGAGATGAAGAAACGTAACGAACGATGAATCCTCCATACCTGCGACCTTCTCTGCATTTGGTGTCTCCCTATCGGGAGGAAGGAGACGAGACGTCATGGCGTCCTGCAGGGACAGACACAATATCGGGGGGGGGGGGGGGTTTAGTGGTTCCGGTACAGAGCGGGCGATCCCAGTAATCCGCCTGACATCCTTTTGGTTTTTGCCGCGTTTGCCGGGAATTTGTTTGTTTTCTTCATCTAATATCCGCCAAATGTTTATCTGCGTGAAAACAGCCGGCGTCGGGGCAACAAATCCACGCTTGTTTCTAGGACCTTGGATGGCAGACACAGCGCGGCCGCCGCGAGAGACGCTTTGCTGTCATTGGTTTCATTTTTATCACAATGTAAAAAAACAAAAGCAGCGTCGCAGCTTTTGCCTTTTAAGTCCTCACAAACACGGGGCGTTCTTACAGCGGCTGATTTTGGCTTTTGACGCTTTTATCTACAGCCAGTAACCCCCCAGCATGTTATCCTCCTCGGTGTCCATACACACACAGACTGGAATCAACGTTTTGTGGCTGGAAAAAGCAATCCAGGACTAGTGGGTTGACACCAACGATGGGGCACTCTTCCTCCCAGTGACACCAACGATGGGACACTATTCCTCCCAGTGACACCAACAAAGGGACACTAATCCTCCTACTGGTACCAATGATGGGGCACTATTCCTCCCACTGACACCAATGATGAGGCACTATTCCTCCCACTGACACCAATGATGGGGCACTATTCCTCCCACTGACACCAATGATGGGGCACTATTCCTCCCACTGATACCGATGATGGGGCACTATTCCTCCCACTGACACCAATGATGGGGCACTATTCCTCCCACTGATACCAATGATGGGGCACTATTCCTCCCACTGACACCAATGATGGGGCACTATTCCTCCTACTGATACCAATGATGGGGCACTATTCCTCCCACTGACACCAATGATGGGGCACTATTCCTCCCACTGATACCAATGATGAGGCACTATTCCTCCCACTGATACCAATGATGGGGCACTATTCCTCCTACTGATACCAATGATGGGGCACTATTCCTCCCACTGACACCAATGATGGGGCACATCCTCCCACTGATACCAATGAAGGGGCACTATTCCTCCCACTGACACCAATGATGGGGCACTATTTCTCCCACTGACACCAATGATGGGGCACTATTCCTCCCACTGACACCAATGATGGGGCACTATTCCTCCCACTGATACCAATGATGGGGCACTATTTCTCCCACTGACACCATTGATGAGGCACTATTTCTCCCACTGACACCAATGATGGGACACTATTCCTCCCACCAATACCAATGATGGGGCACTATTCCTCCCACTGACACCAATGATGGGGCACTATTCCTCCCACTGACACCAATGATGGAATCATCTTTGTTGGGGCATCACGCACCATCTTTGTTGGGGCATCACGAACCATCTTTGTTGGGGCATCACGCACCATCTTTGTTGGGGCATCACGAACCATCTTTGTTGGGGCATCACGCATCATCTTTGTTGGGGCATCACGAACCATCTTTGTTGGGGCATCACGCATCATCTTTGTTGGGGCATCACGCACCATCTTTGTTGGGACATCATCACCATCTTTGTTGGGACACCATCTTTGTTGGGACATCATACACCATCTTTGTTGGGACATCACGCACCATCTTTTTTGGGGCATCACGCATCATCTTTTTTGGGGCATCACGAACCATCTTTTATTGGGGCATCACGCACCATCTTTGTTGGGGCATCACGCACCATCTTTGTTGGGGCATCATGCACCATCTTTGTTGGGGCATCACGCACCATCTTTGTTGGGGCATCACGCATCATCTTTGTTGGGACATCATACACATCTTTGTTGGGGCATCACGCACCATCTTTGTTGGGACATCACGCACCATCTTTGTTGGGACATCATACACCATCTTTGTTGGGGCATCATGAACCATCTTTGTTGGGACATCACGCATCATCTTTGTTGGAGCATCACGCATCATCTTTGTTGGGACATCACACATCATCTTTGTTGGGGCATCAAAAACCATCTTTGTTGGGGCATCATGAACCATCTTTGTTGGGGCATCACGCATCATCTTTGTTGGGGCATCATGAACCATCTTTGTTGGGGCATCACGCATCATCTTTGTTGGGGCATCAAAAACCATCTTTGTTGGGGCATCACACCCTTATATGTGCCACTAGTACAGATGTACAAAGATGATAACAATATATAAATGTACAGGAAATCCAAGGATACATATCTGCTAATTCCCTGTAGTGTTTTCTAGGAGTTGTTACATTGTATCTCCTATATATTTTTCCTATGCCCCTCAGCTCCATCTAGTGGCCATAATATGGTCATTTACTGCTGCCCATCATAAAAGAGAGAAAACAGACCAAAAAACAAACAAGTGGCTTAAAATAGGCTGGAGGTTGATGCATATACTGTATGTAGTTCCAAATGGGCGTGGTGGATCGACGCGTTTCGCAATAGTGTCACTTCCTCAGGATCCACCAATTTACATAGACAACCAATACAGATGTACAAAGATGATAACAATGTATAAATGTACAGGAAATCCAAGGATACATAATTGCTAATTCCCTCTAGTGGTTTCTAGGAATTGTTACATTGTATCTCCTTTATATTTCCTATGCCTCTCCGCTCCATCTAGTGGCCATAATAAGGTACTACTGCCCATTTATTCAAAAGAGAAAACAGCCCAAAGAGCAATTGTCTTTGCCCAGAGCGAACGTACATGCAGATACGCTGGACGAACGGCTGTGTGGTTTTATATATATATACATATATATATAAATAAGCCCCTAAATTAAATGAAAAAAGATTAATGGAAAATGCCGCACGGTGCAACAACGCCAACTAAATGCCACGCGGTGAAGGTGGGTTTGCCCCATCGACTTGAATGGGGAAGTCTGACAGACGGCACCACCTGTCACCTAAACTAGTCGCAGCGATTTTTGCCGTGGCATGTGCACGGTTAAGTCTGGCTGTAGGCTATGCTTTCGGCGGGCGGTAAAACCCCGGCTCAACTGCCCGTTTATACCACCCTCCCCCCATCTACCTAATCACCTTTACAAGATCCCAATTTTCTATTGATCTATTTCTTTTCCACCAGATCGGGGTTCCTCCTTAACCCCCTGTTGCGCTCCTCGCAGCATGCGGCTGCGTTCGTCGGTCCAACGGCGAGTGGCGTTTGGCGATGACACGGGAAGGTCAGATAGAGAGACAGTAATATCATTTCCCACCACCGTTCTCATGGCAACCGCGTTTGACATTCTCGTGCTAGGTGACGCTTAACCCCCTCCGTGCCGCCGCGGCGTGACAACGGCCCGGTCACCCGCTCTCGTTTCAATGAAAATTTGTTTGCAGAATTATGACCCCCCCCCTTGTGGGAGAGTGGCGCGCCAGATCCCGCTGAGCGTTCGTGTCCCGGGCCAGGAATATCGGAGGACACTCCGCCGCCGGCAGCAAAAGGGTCCCATAGAAGCCGGAAAATAGAACTCACTTGAGATCCGCGCAGATCAGATAATGTCTCTGGTGATGTCATAAGTGAGCGATTACAGGGTATATGGAGGCGGCGGTGGGCGCGCCTTGTACCGACCCCCCCACCCCACCCCCAGCGCTACATTGTAATTCCCGCTCTGTGGATCTTTCTTCACTTGTAGAAGAGACGGATGGGATCAGAAGATTCACCCAGCGTGTTCTGTAACCCAGGGAATCACTGGAAGGGGGGGGGGGGGGGTGGGGGGGGTTCTAGACGATTCTCTACGAATGAACGATAACCGATAACATATATTATTGCAATCAGGGGCGGACTGACAACTCATGGGGCCCCCGGGCAATAGGGGATCATGGGGCCCCTGTGTCCTTGCCCACACTCAAAAAAGCCTATGAAAAAGGTACCAGGGGCATCTCATGGGGCCCCCTACTGACCCCGGGCCCTCGGGCGGTGCCCGAGTTTCCAAATGGTCAGTCCGCCCCTGCTTCCAATCATATTTATTGATTTCATATAATTAGAACCTGAAAGTGACTCTTCACACGCCGTTCACTTTTATATCCATGCTGTTCCATATTTCCATCATTGTAATCCCCAGAATTGGGAAGGCTCCCTCTACTGGACATCTGTATATTACAGAATTTGAGTAGCAGGATATATACACCCAAGAAAAAAAATTATATATATATATATATATATATATATATATATATATATATATTTATATAATATATATATCGTTTTTTTTACGCATAATAAAATGTTCATAATCAGTATTTATAATATTTTATATATTTAATAATGCATATGTAGTTACATAGTCTGGCTGAAAAAAAGACAAAAGTCCATCCATTTCGACCATTAAAAAAAAAAAAAAAAAGTTATAAACTATTATTTTAAAAAAGATATATTATTCAACTATTAGTATTCAAATTATTTAAATTAAATTATTTAAATAATGAATGAATGCATGTACCTATTATTATATATATAAAATATTAATAATATATTTTTTTTTTTTACATAGTTACATAGTTAGTCTGGCTGAAAAAAGACAAAAGCCCTTACGTTTCCACCATTAAAAAAAAAAGTTCTAAACTATTATTTTAAAAAGATATATTATTCAACTATTATTATTCAAATTAAATTATTTAAATGATGAATGCATGTACCTGTTATTAAATATATAAAATATTAATTATATTAATATATATATATATATTTTTATTTTATAGTTAGTCTGGTTGAAAAAAAACAAAAGTCCATCCATTGAATACTTAATTCATATTTTATAGATTTCATGTAACAACCTGAAAGTAACTCTTGACACGTCTTTCATTTGAAATCCATGCTGTTCCGTATTTTCACAACTGTAATTCCTAGGATTGTAAATGCTCCCCCTAGTGGACATCTGTACAGTGGGGAATTTGACTAGCATGGAAATATAAAAACAAGGGCTGAGAGAGGGGGTTGGAGGAGAGAGAGAGAGGGGTGGAGGGGAGAGGGAGAGAGAAGGGGGAGAGAGGGGAGGAGGGGAGAGGGAAAGAGAAGGGGGAGAGAGGGGTGGAGGAGAGAGGGAGAGAGAAGGGGGAGAGAGGGGTGGAGGAGAGAGAGAGAGGGGGGGTGGAGGGGAGAGGGGTGGAGGATAGAGGGAGAGAGAAGGGGGAGAGAGGGGAGGAGGGGAGAGGGAGAGAGAAGGGGGAGAGAGGGGTGGAGGGGGAGAGGGAGAGAGAAGGGGGAGAGAGGGGTGGAGGAGAGAGAGAGGGGGGGTGGAGGGGAGAGGGGTGGAGGATAGAGGGAGAGAGAAGGGGGAGAGAGAGGGGAGGAGGGGAGAGGGAGAGAGAGAAGGGGGAGAGAGGGGTGGAGGGGGGAGAGGGAGAGAGAAGGGGGAGAGAGGGGTGGAGGAGAGAGAGAGGGGGGGTGGAGGGGAGAGGGGTGGAGGATAGAGGGAGAAAAGAGAGGGGGAGGGGGGGAGAGAGAGGAGTGGAGAGAGAGGGGGAGGGAAGAGAGAGAGGGGGGGAGAGGGGTGGAGGAGAGAGAGAGGGGGGGAGGGGTGGAGGAGAGAGAGAGGGGGGGGAGAGAGGGGTGGAGGAAAGAGGGAGAGAGAGGAGGAGGGGGAGAGAGAGAGGGGGGCGGAGAGGGGGGGAAGAGGGGTGGGGGGGGAGGAGAGGGGGGGGAGGGAGAGAGAGAGGGGGGAGGGGGGAGAGTGGGGTGGAGGAGAGAGGGGGAGGGAGAGAGGGGGGAGGGGGGAGAGGGGGGTGGAGGAGAGAGGAAGAGAGAGAGGGGGGAGGGGGAGAGAGGGGGGGGAACGAGAGGGGGAAAAAGAGAGAGAGGGGGGAGGATAGAGGGAGAGAGAGAGGGGGGAGAGAGAGAGAGAGAGAGGAGAGGGTGGAGGGGGAGAGAGAGGTGCGGGAGGAGAGAGAGAGAGAGGAGTGGAGGAGAGAGAGAGGGGGGAGAGAGGGGTGGAGGAGAGAGAGACAGAGTGGGGGAGGGGGGGAGAGAGAGAGAAATATTTAAATGTCAAATACATATTTAATTGCATTCATATTTTTATAATACTGTATATAATATTTTAATATTGTACATGCAAGCTATACGTATTAATTTAATATATTCTAAAAAAAAAAATATTTAATTGTATTAATTTTTATTATTATTAATAATAATAAAATTAATAATAAATATTATTTTAGTGTTTTTTTTTAATAGATTTAATAATAAACTTTAAATATATTCAATAATAGTTATGAAAATATTTTTTTTTTTTAAATAAATATTTAATTGTGTTTTAATATTTTATATATTAAATGATTATTTTGAATAATATTTCCTAGATTTGATGTGATAATACCCTGGAAAGTAACGTTTGATAGTCTGTCATGTTTATATCCATGCTGTCCGGTATTTTCCTGCCGTCTTCCCGGAATTGTAGGCGCTCCCTCTGGTGGACAGCTGTGTGGGAGAAATTCTAGGAACAATTCGGTATAGATCTATAGACGTCGTAATTTCTTCGGTATTTTTTTTTTTCTCCAGATATACTAATCTCTGTTTAATAATATATGTAAATGCTGCAATTAATTATATTCATCAATCAGACGGCGACAATATAAATTTGTAT